CGTCTTTGTTGTCGCCACCGTCAGAGGAGGACATGCAGTGCAGAGGCCAGTCCTCCATCACTTGGAGCAGTGCTGGGATCACCTTCTCTGCTGTCGTTCCTGAGGCGGCGATGGTCCTCCAGATCATTGCAGCAGCTCTGTGGAGCCAGAGCCCTGTGTCAGGGGGGTCTCTGCCACAGTGCCATGGATTGGGCAGCTGTGGGGGCCCAGGCCACAGAGTCATGCTGCCTTGAGGTGCAGGGAGGGCACATGGCAGAAGGATGAGGGGCTGACATGCCAGGGCTGGGAAATGGAGGGGCCAGAGGGTCGTGGAACTCTCCATCTGTCTCTCACACCAGATGGGATAGGTTGCCTGGGGTGATGGGTTCTAAAGGTTTGTAAGCCCTGAGCCAGCAGGGCAGCTGGTCCCTGTACCTGTCACATGCTGGGGCACAGCGCAGGAGAGAAAAGACCACCTCCCGAGGGTGTGCATCAACCAGCCTGAGAATGTTAGTCTGGAGGCTGGCATCTGGAGACACGTGGAACGTAAGGCACTGGTGGATGTACCTCACGATGTCTGGCACCTGGAGAGGGAATGAGGGAGAGTTTGAGATCTGCCAGCGTGAAGAGGTTGCCCAGTTTCCCAGGAGGAATGCTTCCCTTCCCCCCTCATTGTGCTGGCCTCAAAAGCTTACAGGCCAGAAGACTCAGCTTGAGCACCACAAGACCCCTGTGGGACTCAAGCCATGGCCACAGGCTGCTTACTTGCTTCTGATTGGAGATACCTTTCTCCTTGAAAAGATCTAAATTGGGAGCTGTACTGGGTTTCTGTGGCCAGGTCTTGGTAGCGGGGAGACTACGGGGGTGGCCCCTGTTAGAAACTGCTAAAAGTTTCCACTTGTTTGGCAGAGCCAATGCCAGCCGGTTCCAGGATGGACCTACTGCTGAACCAATCAGTAATGATAGTAATACTGATATGATAAAATATTTAGGCAGGGAAAGAAAATTATTGTGCAGATGAAAATTCCAGCCGGGGGAGAGTGGAGTGAGAAGATGGGAACAAGAATGTAGACACCAAGGTCAGTGCACAAGGAGGGGGAGGAGGTGCTCCAGGTGTCAGGGCTGAAGTTTCCCTGCAGCCCCTGGTGCAGCCCATGGTGAAGCAGCTGTGCCCCTGCAGCCCATGGAGGAGCACCATGGGGTGCAGGGATCCACCTGAAGCCCTTGGAGGAGCACACAAAAAAGAGGGTGAGTGCCAAAGGAGGCTGTGGCCCCGGGGAGGGGGCCCATGCTGGAGCAGGGCACTGGCAGGACTTGTGGCACTGTGGAGGACCCAGACTGGAGCAGCTCGTTCCTGAAAGACGGCACCCCCTTGGAAAAGTGACCCACGTAGAAGCAGTTTTGTGAAGAATTGTTGCCTATGGGATGGACTCATGCTACAGAGGTTCATGAAAGATTGTCTCCAGTGGGAGGGATCCCACAGGAAGATGGGGGAGGAGTGCTCTCCCTAAGCAGCAGCAGAAACCACAACTGACCGTAAGACCCATTCCCTGTCTCCCTGTAGTGCTGGGGGAAGGAGGAAGTAGAATTTGGAAGGAAGAAGGAGTGAGTGAAAGGTGGTTTTAAGATTTTTTTACTTCTCACTCTCTTCCTCAGATCACGTTAGTAATAAATTTAGTTAATATCCCCACTTGGAGTCTGTTTTGCCCATAATGGTGATCAGTAAATGAGCTCTCTCAGCTCTTATCTCAACTCATGAATCCTCTGCTGGATTTTCTCTGCTCTGTGTAGTTGCAGAGAGGAGTGAATGAGAGCTTTTAGTGTGTACCTAGCATCCCCGAGAGGCTGCAGAGCAGCAGAGATTGGGACATGGCACCACAGCCCAGGGCACAGGACCTGCGCTCCTGGGCCAAGGTCAGGAGGAGACTGGAACCTGCAAGGCACCAGCCGAGCCCCTGGCACAGGGACACCAGAGCCCACAAGAGCTCACCTCTGCCACACACTGGTACCCATCGTGCCAGTGAAAGAACAGGGGTACGAGGCTCTGGTGCACGGGTATGTTTGTTCCCTGGTCCGCAAGCGACTCCATGACCACTTGGGAGAGACGAATGGAGAGCATCTGCACATGGGTATTGTCCTGGTGTAAAAGAGAAGCAGAAAGAGAAAAAGACCTCAGCAGTGGCTGCTCCAGGCCCAGCAGGCGCAGGCCCAGACCTGGAAATATGCAGGGAACAAAGCTTGCAGGCAACACCAGGCAACCAGAGCCTTACGTTATCAAAGAGTGGCCGGAGTGCCTCAGCCAGCTTTGGGGCAGTGGAGCTGAATTCTTCGATGTCCTTGTCCTGGAGCATATTCAGGAACACAGAGAGGGTCATCTCGACCACATCTCCGTCTCCATCATGAAGCAGCTCCACGAGGTGCTCAGAAAGGGTGCAGATGCTGTCGGCCTGTGTGGAACACAGTGCTGTGCTGTGAAGTCCTGAACAGCTGCACCACCAGCAGCTCTCTGGTGGTGCAACCCCACACTGCTGCCACAGGGCCCAGAGGACAAAGGCCTGTCCTGCAGGGCCTGGGCAACTGAAGAGGGAGGCAGGAAAGCTGGGAGCAGCTGCCACAGCTCCCAAAGCCCAGCTATACCCAAGGAACTGAGTTCCCAGCCCCAAACTTCCAGTGTGGCTTCAGCTGGGTGTCCCCTTCTCACCATTGAGGGATCCACACTGAGCACAAGGAGGCCTCTGAGTGCCAGGCGTCGGCTCTCAGGGCACTGGCTGTGCAGGTGCCTTGCTAGGATAGGCAGGACACTCTCATGACATTTTCTCCCATCCAGATAGTCGAGGAGCTGGAAGGCAGAGAACAGTGAGGTGATGGTCGGGTGGCAGGAGTTCAGAGCCACCCAGGACCGTGTCCAGGAGCAGCACAGGGCACAGGCACCAGCCTGGGCAGCTGCGGTTGTGAGAGGACAGAGAGGGGGGAGGCAGCTGGGCGAGGCAGTGCTCGCCACCAGGCTCACCTCAACAAGGAAGGCAAGCGCAGGGAGCTCCCAGCGGGGCTCCTCCCTGCTGAGCAGTCCAAGCAGGTGGGTTTCAATGCCAGAAAAGAAGGGGATCAAGACATTGTGCATCTCCCTGTCAAGAAAAGAAAGGAGCCAT